AGATAGATAGATAGATAGATAGGATGACAGTTAATTCCTAAATATGTAAATACAACCTGCTCAGTTTGTATAATGTTACAGTATATATATATTATTCAACCAATACAAATGGCTGACCATTTGGTATTGGATAACCATCAGTGTGCTCTTCCCTGGGGAAGACCATTTCTCCCAGTCTCAGCATCCTTTAGTTACTTGTAATCCTTTGTCTAGGACTGAGCCTTGTAATCTTTGGCCCTTCTGTGTTAGACTATTCATTGCTGTTGTCCTCACTAGGGTTCTGTTTAGACAGCCACGTTGATGAGACTTATAACACTCTGACATTCCTAAGATACACAATCTCATACCAAATTCCTGTCCCTCTGGCCTTTTTAATGTTCAAGTAATTCACAAGTAGTTCAACTTTTTCAGTTGAATTCAATCTTTTATTTCTGCTCTCTTTATATGTGGCATCCCAAAGACACCCACACATGGTTCAAAGAATTATCAGATTCAACTACTACACCAACAACCATAATCTTAACTGTATGCTCCACTAGATCCATCTGATTCCTGTTCCTTCTCAGATCATGTAGAGAATCATCTAAACACTTACTGAGAATAAATACAGCCAGAAATTGACCACACACAACTTCCTAGACTGTTGGGCTTTGGCATGTACCTCAAACAATAAACAGTGTCAAACATGCCCTCTGCTTCTGATTTAAGTTTACTTCCTTGTGTGTGAAACGATAAAAGTCCATATAAATTACATACAGAGGGTTTTTTTTTTCTTTTCTCATAGATAACTAATGTTGGAACCGATACCATGCCCCATGTCTACCTTCAGGATCACAATCATCAAAAGAACTGCACTGACTCCTTTAGAGCTTTAGAGTTATCTTTCTCAATACCATTATTGTAAGCCAAACCCATCTACCCCCAACATACTAATCATGTATAATGAAGAGCAACCTCCAGCCTACTCAGGCTGCCTTCATAGCACAATCTCGGGTCACACCTTCATTCCCTTCTGACCCTCCCCTAAGTCTTGAGGTCTAAATCTCCCCTACTTAAGTGGTAATCTCTGTTTTCAGACCTAATTCTATCTTTTGGGCTTGAAATTTTATCTTGGTTTCTTCAGGTTATCTATCCTTTGACTCACACTTCCCATGTGGTTTTTTCATGTCATCTGTCTTAAAGCCTTGAAAGCAATGAAATAGTTCAAAGCAACAGCAACAATCTCAACAAGCCTGGGTCTTGATTTCAGTGAAGGCCTTTCTTCTTACTCCTGCCTTGGTCTTGAACCACTCTAGAGCCTGTCTGACACTGTGGAGGAAACCATCCTACAGAAAGGGAGCCTCAGAGCAATGATGTCTGACCACATCAGTGCATCTCAAAAAACTAGTTCTTTAAGAAGTATCCTTCGTAGCAAGAGTCCACGTGCATAAAAGGGAATTTAGACACTGAGTCTCCTTCTCAAATGAAAACTTCTCAAACTTTAAATATGGCTGCCAACTATTGCTCATCCCGGTATTGTCTGTATTATAGATAATACAGAAATATAGGCAATTTGGAAGATGAAAGTGCTTCACTCTGTTTTTATTACTCTTCCATAAAATACTTGATTTGGTTTGAAAGGTGTCTCAAATTTAGAATTTGTCATTTGGAGAGTCTGCAAAGTCACACTGGAGTCCCTGACCTTCTAACATTGTGCTCTCTCTGTTTCATTACATCATTCCACTCTTAATGAGAAAAGAGAATCTGCTTCAAACTAGAATACTAAAGTGAAATCCACTGCCATGCTATACACACACACACACACACACACACACACACACACACACACACAAACAATAAAACAGGGTCAGGGGGAGATAGTCCAGTCAGTGAAGTATCTGGCCAGCAAACATAAAGTCCTGATTCTGCACCCCAGCACCCATGTTAAAAGCCAGGGGGTTGGGGACAACAAATAGATGTGGTAGTATACACTCCTGTCTCAGTGCTGGGGTAAGAGAGGGGAAGGGGAGAGACAGATGGATCCCTAGGGTTCAATGCAGGCCAGCTTAGCTGAATCAGCAAGTTTCAAGCAAAACTGCGAAACCCTGTCTCAAAAACCAAGGTGGAAAATGACCTAAGGGAAACTCCAAATCTGTTTACACATATTCACGTGTGCACCTGCACAAACATGTGAGCCAGTTTACACACACAATTGAAAAATACATAGAAGGAACTCAAAGTGAACAAAGTCATTTGGAAAGTGCTGTATGAGGAGGGGCAGGACAACACACTAGATAAAGCGCTGCCACACGAGTCTGATAACAGGAGCCCAATCCCTGGAGCCCACAAAGTGGAAGGAGAGAACCAACTTCGTAAAGCTGTCCTCTGACTTCTATATGTGCACAGTAGGGTGCAGCTGAGCACACACACGCATATAAAATATAAGTTCTATGATATTTTGTAAAACAGTAAAATTATCGAGACACAAAAAGATCAGTTGCCACAGGAGCTAGGGAATAAGTATATTATATGGAGCACAGGGACCTTTTTACACAATGGGGCTATTTTTTGTACTATACTGCCAGATGCATGCCATATATATTTGTCAAGACCCATATACTGTATAAAACCAAGAGTGAACCCTAGAGGAAACTATTAACTTCTGGTGATAATGATGTAGTGGTACAGGTTAATCAATTGTAACTCGCATACAGCTCTGATGGGGAATATTGATATTGGGAGAAGGGATGTATGTGAATATGGCAAAAAGAGGAATATAAGTAGTTGTACACCTTTTGCTAAGTTTTGTTGTGAGCCAAATATCACATTAACGAATAGCATCCTTTGTGAGAGGAAGATTTCCTGCTGCATAGACCACATAGACTTAATGCTGGCTCGCTCTTTGCTGGATGGACTTCCTATCTCTACTACTCTGGAGTATGAGCAAGAGAACCAAAGGAAGACAATGTAAGCCAATAGAATAAGCTACTAGAAAAACCAAAGTCTCTGATGAATCCTAATCTGGTCTCTATTTTCCTGTGATCTCTTTTGTAGGCCTTTTATAGTTTTTGTCTTCTATCTCATGGTACAACCTCAATCCATGCGCCTGAAAAAGAGAGGGCAAAGTGCAGCTTTTTTGCAGAACTCAACTACCTTCTCCAATTTTGTTGCTGTTTGCTTGTTTGTTTGTTTTGCCAAAACTTAGTGTTCCAACATAAACAGTTGTTATGCGTGGTGATATTGTGTTTCCCAAAATATTGTGCACCCTAATAAACTTATCTGGGGTCAGAGAACAGAACAGCCACTAGATACAAAGGTTAGAAAATGGTGGCACTCACACCTTTAATCCTAGTACTCCAGCGGGAGAAATCCTTCTGGATCTCTGTGAGTTCAAGGCCACATTAGAAATGGCCAGGCATGGTGACTCACGCCTTTAATCCCAGAAAGCGAGCCTTTAATCCCAGGGAGTGATGGTAGAAAGCAGAAAAATATATAAGGCATGAGGACCAGAAACTAGAAGCATTTTGGCTGTTTAAGCTTTTAGCTGGTTAAGCTTCAGGCTTTCGAGCAGCAGTTCAGCTGAGAGCCATTCTGGATGAGGACTCAGAGGCATCCAGTCAGAGGAAACAAGACCAGCAGAGAAACTGGCGAGGTGAGGTGGCTGTGGCTTATTATATCTCTCTGATCGTCCAGCATTTACCCCAATACCTGGCTCAGGTTTGATTTTATTAATAAGAACTTTTAAGATTCCTGCTACAGTTATGCTTTAATCCCAGCACTTGGGAGGCAGAGGCAGGCAAATCTCTGAGTTCAAGGTGAGTCTGTTCTATAGAGTGAGTTCTAGGACAGCCAGGGTTACACAGAGAAACCCTGTATCAAAATAAAAAAAAATTATAATAACCTGAAGGTTCATAACTCAAACAAGAATGGGGTAGTGATGGAATTAGCTACATTCTTTGGTGTCAGAGACCAACTGAGCTAGGAATACCTCAAGACTGAGCTGATTCAACAGCTAGGGTCTGAAATCATGTAGAGTCATTTTTCTCACATGTCTGGAAGTGAACAGCAGCTATGGGATGCTAAACAATGGGTTAAATATGTGGGTGCTCATGGTTTTCTCTGTGTGGATTAGCTTGGGCTTCCTCACAGTATGGTGACTTGTCTCAAGAGAGAACCTGCCAAAGGAAAAAAAAAAGAAGAAAATAAATGACCCTCAATGAGCTGGCTCTAAAATAACATAGCATCCTTGCTGCAAGACCCAAACCTGCCCCAACACCTCTACCCATGTTTGAAAGGAAACGACAGAGATCAAAACCATGGGATGGGAAGAGGGCCAGTGTTACTTTGTAAGAACGTGTGGAATAGGCAATGTTCTTGCTGCATTTTGAAAAATACCATTTGCTATAGTAATTCTTGCTGTATCTTACTGGGTCTTTCACTTGACATCTGGATATGCAATGCATTTGAGTGACTGATTAGACTTTGTTCCACATCTAACTTCTTACTGTTTTATATTGTAAAACATATGATGGGATGGTAAGCATAGCGATGTTGAGTTCCATGATATTCAACTACAGTACTCTGTACTTGATCATCAGAATACATAATATTGACAGTAGTGTTGCAACTGTGGACAGATACATTGAACTTATTATGATTGTTTTTGTGTTATAACATTTGTAATGTGTTCCCCCAAACTCCTCCACATTAACCAAAAATTCATAGTCCATCTTTAATGTGCAAGAGAAGTTTAATTAGTCCGATTATTTCTTCATTACTTGAGAAATGTACAAAACTCATCTGCAAAGCATAGAGAATATTGTAAAGCAGTAATTAAATCTCATAACTAAAGAAAGGAAACCACTACCATGAAGAAACTATTTTTTCTGCTCTTTCATCATTGGTTAATTTAGTTTATTTGATTATTTTAACATTTACGTTAGTAATTTGTGAGAACCTTGATCATTCATTTCTATTATCTCCTGAAAAGTGAACTAACAAATGTAATTGTCCCTTTTCAGTTGACTTCATAGGTGGCTTTGACTCTTATGGATATCAAGGACCTCAGAAGACATCTCATTTACAACTACAACCAATGTATATGTAAGTACTCTACTTGGAAGGTATTTGGGGGGCGTGGTATGAAAAGATAATCAAGTAAATGTATCATGGCACAAAAAAATGCATGCAGCTTTCCTCTGGTTGTATATTTCCATTTTCTACTATTAATATTGTTTGGACTAGGATGATTCTAAGACATTTTCTTCGTGTTTAAAAAAATGACATCAAAAAGGCCATCTTTAAAGTTTTCTTTAGTCTTATGTAAGTATCATCTAAATGGCTCAAAAGCCTCCAATATGCAACAATTCTTTGAATTACCTAAAATGTATGTATTTTGAAAATATCCTAACTGTATAGGCAGTTGTATGTAGCTATATAACACTCTCTGGCTTCCTCAGTATAATCCCAACTAATGCTGACTGTGTTCATATCGTTGTTATCAGCCCTCCATAATAGTCTTGAGTGTTCATTTAGATGATAAATGCTAGTTCACCGTAGTGATGGATACATCTTCCAAAAACTCAAGCTCTGAGCCATACTTTATCAGTGTGAAAGTCAACATGAAACCAGAACATCAGAACTGAAACTGATCAAGCCCTTAACTGTAGCACTCAAGAGCACAGACAATCAGAGCCTGATTTTTATATCTGTGTTTAGGCAAATTCCCTTGGATAACAACTGATAGCAAATTCTATATCTCAGCATCAAGTGATATGCTGAATTGCAAGAGAAGATCAAAATAGAAAGTAAGCTTCCAATTCATTTTAAAATGTGAACTTCTCTTTGAAGATATGTGTTTGTTGTCGTTGTCCTCCACCATTAAGTCATCTGCCTTTTGATACCTCCAGCATGTAGGATAATGAATGGAGTTTGGGGGTACTTCTCCAAACAGATGAGTCTTTAGACATGTCTCCTAAGTTTCTCTTTTAAAAGAGCATGATGGATACATTGTGCCTGCCTTTTTCTATGTGTCCCTTGTAGTCTTCTGCAAGTGTCCCAACAGCACCACTCATAAAAACAGATGACATCTGTTCAGAAGTCAAGCAATACCACAAGCCATTCAAAGCATTACCTCTATACACAGTAGATCACACATCCTTCGTTTACATCCAAAACCACTGCCTAGTTCAAGCATCCGTGATCCACTGTTGAGTTTGCCAGTTTCATTATTTCAGAACTTTTGTCCCATCCTATGCATGGCTGCCAAATTAGTGTTCCTAATTCCTAATTCCTCACTGATGCCTTCCCCTTCCTTTCCAAAAGTTAACAGTGATTCTCTGAGCTCCTGACCATAGCCTTGCAGGAGTATGTTGATCTGGACACAACATTTTATTGAAATATTCTCTCTTCCACTCTTAATTACTTTTGTGCCCCCACTATAAGCAAGTGATGTTAAATGTTGCTAGGAAGACACAGTGCTGGGGTAGAAACTACTAAAGCTTTTCATCTGTTAGGAGCATAAATGCTCTGGAAGCTTCTCTCAGCCACTTTTTTTTCCAACAAAACTGGAACATTTGTGTTCTCCTGACAATGGCATGTGTTTTTCCACTCCCCACATTTTTTCCTTGTACAAGAGTATTGTAATCAAACATATTGTTTCCAATCAAGCATTTCTAATTCTAATGTTAATATTTAAACAAGAATTTCAAAAAGATTATCTTTGTTAAGGATTAAATTCCCTAAGAACAAAACTTTCCCTAATTTTCTTAAATAGAAAACTTTACCTGCCAAATAAACATAATCAGATATCTTTTTTCCCACCAATGCCTGAGACTAGCACAATTATATGACAGCTTTTAAGTCACATTGCTCATGAATTTATAAGCATTTAATAGGACACATGTCTAGGATGTTAGGAATACTTAAGGTACATGAAAAATTACCAGTCAAAATTCTGCCTTCCACCTCTCCATAAAACACCCCTTAGAAAACATCAGATCACAAAAATTCTGTGATTTTATTCTATAAATGAGGGAACAGAATCAAGAGACAGGAAAACAAAACTCACCCAACTTTCTACTGGTGCAGCTGAGAGCATCATGCACTTTTCCTGACCCTGGTTTGATATCTCTTCAGTTTCTTAAATGGACTGTGAGTTCAGCCTGGCATTGTCTTCCCTGGTTTGATTTCACTGATTTGCCCAGCTAATTTGGCTGTCACATTTCCATGTGTGTGCCCCACTCCGATTCTCCATCTCCCTTATCTCCTTTTGATTTTACACTATACAGTGTTGAACGAGGAGCTTTACAACTATGTGACCCTCCAAATCTGTCCTCTGAAAGCCTCTGCCTAGTGGGATCCTGTGAAAAATCAAACTTGATTCACCTATAAGCCTCATCCCCGCTGAGAGGCAGAGCCCTGGGCACCTCCTCTGTCTTTGTCATTTAGAGTATACCTTTTCTTGTCAACTTGCCATAAATATGTCTTATAAAGTAAGAGTAATTTAACATCATGGACCAGTTCAAGCATCCCAGCAATATTATATAGCCACTGGAAATAAAAGCTGTTCTTTTGAAAGAAAGCAAATGCTAAAAAGCAATGTACAGCAATGTTTTAGCTATGAGATTTCTATTACATCCAACAAATCTGTGACCTGGCTCCTGGACAAAGCCATAAAGTCACTGACAGCAGGGACTCATAGTCACAGCCAATGGATAACCTGTCCTCTTTATTGATAGTTCATTTGGGTGTGTTCTTAGTTTATAATTCTTCAGATATACAACCATATAAAAGAAAGACTTTCTCCCCCTCCCCTCCTTACAGTTTGTCACATATATACAAAATAAATTTATGGCTATCAGAAATTCCCATGTCATCCCATTAACTTTCTCCAAAGTAATTGTTTTTTATCCCAATTGACTTACGTGCCATGGCACATGTGGACATGATGGTGTCCCCTTCCTAATACAATCCTGCAATGTATTAAAGAGCATGCGAAAACACTGCATCAGTTTGGCAGCTTATGGCAGTACATACTCATTTCATCTGTTCCCTGAATGATCATAAGTGGCCTCTCCTGGTGACATGAAACAGAGATAAAAGGGAGATGAAACACTGTTTAAAACCCAATTTGAGATTCTACTTCCTTTACGTCCCCAATCTTTTTCTTTTCTGTTTGCTCTTGTGTTTGGAGAAGTGGGAGTGGGGAGCAATAACCATCTAGCATTCTCTCTTGATTAAAAGCATCTTTTCTCTCTCTTAGGTCAAAATAACACAGATGACTTCTGTCTGCAGCCCACGGACTTCTCAAATGACTTGTACAGTGGCCTCCTGCCTTTTATGAAGAGCAAGAAGCAAGTGAATTTAAATACACATACATGTTACCAGACCAAACAGGAAGTTTCTACATAGACACGTGTGAAAACGCAAACATACACGCACACAACACACACACACACACACACCGCTCTCACTATCATGCACACATCAACTCCACTGGACATTTTTTTTTTCCGGACTGTAACTGATAAACATGCAGGACACGCCCATCGTGGATTTCCTTAAAGCAGGCTCCTTTCTCCCAGGCCTTTGAAGGTGGGAAAGGAGACACGTTGGCGCCCTCAGCAGGCTGTTACTTACTCCTCCACAGCCCAGCCTGTTGGCTCTGTGAGGTGCCAAGTTAACCCAGGCACACCTGTTTGGAACCCTTTTTCTGCACCCCATACCATACATCTTGATAGCACCACAGCTACTTAGGGAGCATAAATTGCAAAAAAAAAAAACAGACAGAACATGCTGTGATGACCTTGTACCAAATGCGAAATGGCAGGTTGTTTGCCCTAAAGGCTATATCGTACTCACTTGCCTTAACCCACCTAAGTTGTGTGCCCGAGACTCTCAGTGCAGATGTCCCCCAGTCACTTCCTTTAGGCTAACACACTGCTATTAATTCCGAACAATTTGACTCTGTCTCACGCCAAGGAACAAGACAGAAACTCTCAGCAGCAGCAATGCATCTGTGTAAAGAAAATGATGCTGTACCACTGAGCCTCTCCGGTGGCCACGAAGAGACAAGTACCAATGACAACAAACAACTGTCATCTTCCTGTCTCTCAAACATGGTCTTCTGATGTAGTCGGGGGCGAAACAAAGCAAAATGTATTAATCTACTAAACTCATTAATCTACTGAAAGCAGAGATGGCTTGACCGCTTGGTTGTATTGCACTCTAGGTGCTTCTCTAAGTATCTACAAATGGCTTTTCCTAACACAGGGAACAGCTGTGGATTTCTATGACAGAGGCCAACTGACTATGTATTAGCTATGTTTACTCTTTTATATCTAACTCAAATCCAAGACCCAATGTAGGTGAACTTTCTTTTCTAACTTCGGCGTACGAGATTATTTTTGGGGTGGGTGGGGGGAGCAATAGTTAACTTAGTGAAATCTTTGAGATCTCTTTGTGGTATTGGGGGGATCTGTTGTGTGTTAGAGTGTATTTCAATCCTCCTGTATTATTGTGGCAGAAAAAAAAAAAAAAAAAAACCTGTGCTGTTGACGTAGTTGGCAATGAGATGCCTTTGGAGACAATAGTAGGTCAATGTGTTTATGGGATATTCTGAACTCCTAGGAAATTTAGTTCTGTATTTTCAAGCACTGTTTGGTTTTCATTAGTGGAAAACATAACTAGCTCAAGCTTATCAGTAACACAAATGAAGTCATGTTTTTCTTGGATCCACTTGGACACTAAAATCAAGTTTTCTTTAACACATCATCTTGACGTGCAGTGCAGCTCAGACTGAGAAGTTAGACACTGGCATGGAGCAAGTTTGGTGTTTTTGTTGTTTTTTTTTTTTTTTTTTTGGTACTTACAGTTTTATTTACTGGGTTAACCCTTTTTGCGTCTTAACCCATTCAGTTCTCCGTTAGACAAGCCAGTGACTGTCTTCGCATCGACATTTGTGAAACATGCCCACATACCCATTTAAAACCGATGAAGGAACTGAAAAATGACCATTGGAACACAAACCACATGCACGAAAAGATTTCAGCACTCACACTTGAGTTTTCCCGGTGGCTTGTCTCTGTTGGCCCCTAGCTACATGCGTAAAGTGAACAGTTGCACACATGTCCGTGAGACCTCATATGGTGTTTTTACAGTGATATGCATGTTTCATGTTTGAGGAAAACTATTCACAAATGTGCTGTCCCTTTATTCCTAAAATATAAATACTATACATGCCAGAAGCTATTCTAATGTGACTATTCAAATGAGGTCTCACCGCCCTGCTACTGTGATGGGATTCCACCTTGTAGTACATGTGTAGGGAGGGAATAACATAAGCCGTCACGTTTCTTTCTAAGTTGCAGCCAACTGTCCACCAAGTCACTATATCACATCGCCACCAAATTTTTTCAGAAACAGTTGTTGACTACTAGAGAGTAGTCCAAGGCCGGGCCTTTTTAGGAGCAGTGAGCACAGTCGTGTGGTTGATTCTATCTGGGGAAACATCAAAGTTGTACAGCTGTATCCTCCTCAAAATCTGGTGAAGAATGCTATTTTTCTAGGCTGAGCTTTTGTTATAAACCTAATATTCTGAAAGCAAGAGTTAACAACCCTGATCTGTCTTTTTTTTTCCTCTCTCTCTCTCTCTCTCCTGCATTTGTTAATTCTGAATGTATTTTTAACAGAGTGATTTTTTTGACTTACTAGTGTAATTTGCATTTTAAAAAATAAATGGAAAAACAACGAAGTTTCCGAGCCGTCCCTGAAAGCCCCTGTTGCCTCTCACAGTGTGTCTGACGTCACTGACAGGGAAACCCTAGTAGACTTGGATGGTGGATGACGCTACTAATAGTCTATGCAGTCCAATGAGTGGTCAGCCATGAAAGAGAACCGCCGAGCCCCAGCACTGTTCTATCTCAGCTATGAGTGGCACCGACTTACACTCTTCCAACATTGAACTCCCACTGCAGACTACCTGCAACAGGCTTGCTGTCACCGGAGGAACTTTTTTTTTTTCTTTCTCCCGTGATTTTGTACATGTAAAGGGCACCAGATTAAAATCATTTGGTTTGGATCCAAAATGATGGCTCAGGAGCTGAGTTAAGAGCATTGGCTGCTCTTCCAGAGGACCTGAGGGTGACGCCCATCACTCACTAGCAGCTCGCCGCCATTGCCACCACAATTCTACAGGATTCATTGCCCCCCTCTTCCGGCCCTCACAGGCACCAGACCCAAAATTGGTGTACGGACAGATGTACATACAGACAAAGCACCCATACTCGTGAGATGAAATAATGATTTTTTAAAAATCACTTGATTAATCTACAGGTGGGGATTTCCAATGGGATAAAATACATGTGTCTGTGTGCTTGTGAGTGCCCATGTGCCTGTGTGGGAGAGGTATGTATGTACATGTGTATGGAGGTCAAAACTCAACATAAGGTATCAGTTCGCAGGAACTACCCACTTTGTTCAATGAGATGGAGCCTCTCACTGGGCTCACCAATTAGGCGAGGCTAGGCTGTCTCTGCTTCATGAGCACTGAGATTACAAGCAAACTGGAATCCAGCTCAGTTCCCAAAGCTTATGTGGCAACGCTTTATCAACTGAGCCATCTCCCCGGCTCCTATTTTATTTTAAGTGAAATAATTCAAAGACTACTGATTGCCCCTTGGATAACATGAGCTGTTGTTGATGTTGTTAGAATATGGATGTTCCCGTCAGTGGAAGACATCTGTATGGATACAGCCTGGAGTAGTGGAGGCAAACAGAAAAGACTAGCCCCTGGTAATTAGTCCTTAATTGCTGCCGAGGGTCACTGTGGGGTTCACTGTAGGAATGAAAGGACAGACAGGAGCTGGCCCAGGCTGACGGAAGCTCAGGATGCTGCTGACTTAGGCTCCTCCCACTGTACACAGACACATACCAGCAACCACAAACCACAATTCCAGCACAGCAAGAGAAAGTCGCAGAAGTTGCGCTGTGTACCAAGAAGCTAGAGATGGACTTTGAGTATTTGATTTCCTGGCCACATGGTGAGAGCCTTGAAAGTGATCGAGCAGCTTTTTAGCTCTGGTTCCGGATGAGAACAGAATGTCCAGGTGGTGTTCGTCGAAGCCTGCGAGGATGCCTTTCAGGATGGTTCTTCACTGACTGTAAAGTCAAAGACACGTAGCTTCTCCACGGTATCAAAAGTGATGAAATGAACAGCTCAACCATACATAGACACATACGTACTCCCCAAGGAAAATGTTCTTCTGAAAGTCTCACCTAAGTTATAAGATGTTGAAACAGCAAACACAGCTAAGGCTACACTTCTAAGTATTATAGGTACAGCGAAGCGTGTATCCAATATCCTACTGATGTGGTGAGTGCAGCATTTTAATTTGGAAATACAAAGTGTTTTTAAATAATTTGCATTAAGACTTAGCCTCTGAAATCCAGATCCATTCATTACAGAGACAAAAAAGTCCCAAGCAGTTAAGAAAAAAAAAAAAATCCAACATTACAACGTACTCATCTGGAAGTGTAAACAATTCCTATTCCACAGAAAATTCTGCTCTGCACTCTGAGCAGCATACAAACCCCAGACTCTATCAACTGACCTATGATTGTGTAAATTCAAATGACTTATGATAAGGAAGCCCCTAAGACAGTGTGTCAAAACATAAAATGCTTCTGAACTATTATATATAGGGCTTGAAGTAGTTTTTATATTAAAATATATTTTATTCTATTACAGTTCTTTCAAAAACCAATAACCCATACCCAGATATAAACAAGGATATATGATATGTCCTTCTGTATTAACCTACCAATTGTATTCAGTTTTACAAATAGGTTTCTTAGGGTGCATTTGGCCTATACTTATGAATAAGTAAGTTAGAGAGATTAAGATTACTTAAGCATTCCCATCTTGAGCAGTACATAAATTCATCATGGAAATATTTCCTCAAACATTTTATTTGTCTTTGGTAAATTTCAGAACTCAGGGCTTATACTAGAAATCTTTGACGTCAAGATCTCTACACTGGAAAAAGAAAAGAAGTTTCTATTATTTTCATCCCATTTAAATCGTTGAGGGTCTTTTCTCCTTTTATTATACATATATGCCTCCTACCTGCTTCCAAGGAAGAAAAGAAAAAACTCCATGGCCACTATGTGATTGTCCAATTTAAAACAAGCCAGTATACTGAAACAGACATTTTTGATGGCTATGAAGGAAGACTATCTCAAACGTTTATGTGTTCTATGCCATTTAATCTAATGAGAAATTGAGCAAGATGATATGTGCTAGCATCATATTTATCACTGAAATCTTCTAAAACTTTGTGAGTTTTGACAGTAAGTGAAAACAATGAAAATAGAGAGAAGTTCCTACAGAAACAGGTAAAGAGGCGGGTGTATTTTGTATTCTATAGAATTATAATAATATCTTTTTTTAATCATTAAAGATTAGAATTAATGAGCTCAAGGTTTGGATGGGCAATGAAAGGTGATATTTACATGATAAAATTTATATGATAAATTAGGAGAGGAAACCACATGTTGACTCTCTTACTCAGACTAAATCACTATTAAAATTAATGTAAATCTCTTCCATAATGAAATTTCCTTAATAATATGTCACCTTAATATTAAAATAAGTATTTTGTTGGCTGTTCATTCTGCCCTCATGTGAATTTAAATTGTAGTAGCAATGGAATAAAACAGCTCCCAAAAAAGATTACAAATTGATGCTGTCACTTCAAGCATGATGGATTGATTCAATTAATCAGTCAGTCTTTCCTAAGAGTCCTTCAGGGAGTTGCTTAGCAGAGGCATACCCTGTTTATTCCCTTCCAGGCGCCTGTCATTTTTCTTCATTATCCTTCTAGTTTTACTCATTATATCTTTGGGGGATATGCTGATCTTCACGTGCAAAGGTTTTGCACACAGCTGTCCAGACATAAATCTTCCAAGCTTCAAACTGGAGGCCACCCAAACACCTGAGGCTCCTGTCACTGTTCTACCAGTATGACCAAGATGCTCACAGGATGAAGTCAAACAAATAAATGGACACTGACTTAGTAAATGGTTAATCAATAAAAAAAGAACCAGTCGAGGGAAAGCTGTGAAAATATTTCATTCAAAAAGATAGTCACAATGCCCATGTGCACCATACATGTATACTGGCCTTTCTGTCTAAGGCCAACCTTCTCAACCCCGAAAGAAGATAGGTAGAGATAAAAAGAGTTGAAAGTCTGGTACTCATGCCAAATACTCATGATAAGACAACACACACACACACACACACACACACACACACACACACACACTCAGTGATTACTTTAGCTAATAACAGACAAATGAATATTCTTCAATATCAAATATTTCTGCTTTCAATGAGTCAAACCATTTGCCTTTTAAAGTTGTAAAATGTGGTACTGTGGATGTAGCTCAGCCGGTCAAAATACTTGCCTAGAATGCATGAGGTTCTGGGTTTCATTCCCAGTATCACATAAAGCTGGATATAGTTTAAACAGCTACAATCACAGCATTCAGAAAGCAAAAGCAGGTGGATTTGAAGTTTAAGTCATCTTTGAATATACAGTAAGTTTGAGACTAGGCTGGGCTACATGGGACTCTGTCTCAAAAAAAAAAATTAATGTGAAGAGTCTACCACACAATGTGCTGGAATGCTTAGTATTAATAATAATAATAAAGATAATAGGAGTTGTCAAGGATGGACAGGAAAGACCATATATCTTTTAGTGGGAATCTAAATTAGTTAGACATTATAGAAATATTTTTAATAAAAATGGAGTAATCTAATTTCTGGGTATATACAACAATGGAAATGAAATAAATATGTAAAGAAATCTCTGTACTATATACATTGTCACATCATTCACAATATGGAATCAAGCTATTATATGTTCATCAATTGATAAATGCACAAAGAAAATAGGGCACATATAACAATGAAATAACATTCAGCCTTTAAAAAAATCAAGTTTTATCCTTTGTAACAAAGTGGATGAATCTGGAAGACATTATTGTTAGGCCAAATAAACAAAAAATGTAAAGATAGATTGTGTAATATTACTCATATGAATAGAACAAAATAGTGAAGTGTTAGTCGGAAAGGGGAGATGAGAAGAATATGAAAGGAATTAGAGAGAGGGAAAACATGATCAAAATGTATTGTATGAAAAAAGTTGCAATATAATTGCTGTTAGGAGGATAAGCTTAAGAAATTAATCATACAAATAGTTGTAATAATGATAATATGGAACTATACTAGTGTCCAAGTATTGTAGGCTATATCGACAACATGAAACTATAATAGTATACAAGCAGTATGTACTTGGATATTGCTGAGACAGTAGATGTTAAATGTTCTCACTAAATACAAATAGTAAGTGTGTTGGGAATGACCATAGTAAGTGGCTTGAATTAGCCATTGTAGAGTGCACACAACATATCATATACAGCACCATCTTGTGTACAATAAACATATACAAATTCTAGCAATTAAGTATTAACTTGGGACTGGAGACGTGACTCAGTGGATAAAGTGCTCTCTGTATAAGCATGAAGGTCAAAGTTCAGATCCCCTGCAGCCACATAAAAGCCATCAGGAGTGCTGGCCCGTTTGTCATCCCAGTTCTAAGGAGGCTAAACAAGAGATCCTTGAGGAAATCTGACAGACTGCACTAGCCAGCTACAGGTTCAGTGAGAGACCTTGCCTTAATAAAGTGAAGA